TACAAAACTAAAGATTCTAAACTGGCAGCCAATTCCCAGATGGAAATCATTCAAGGTTCTAGTCCCATACATTAGTGCTCTGTTTCAACAGACACACTTAGAAAAATCTCAAAAGCATTAATAATGACATTGGATAAACAGTATGTGGCAAATGTTGAACCATGGTGTCTTTCTTGCATTTAAAACTCTTAAGTAATCTTTTGCTCTTTTCCTTTTATGGGATGCAGAAGTTGTCAACAAACTTGAGCCCAGGGTCATCTGATGGAAAACACTCAGAGGTTTATGTACTTTGTTAGAGTGATCGGCACTGAACATCTACTCTGAAACAACTCAGTGTCGTGTCTTTTCATGAAATAGTTCAGCATTGTGACTTTAAAGGAAATATACGATAAGAACAGTAAATCAAGGACAGACCACTAAAATCACTAAGCTGTGGTAGTTAATGATAAGATTCCTCCCTTCCCTGGGATGGAACCTAGGGACGTTGTACGGAGAAATTCCCAGTTCTTAATTGTTTAAAATCTTTTTATTCTGAAATAGGTTACTGATGTCAGTGAGTTTCCCAGGCTGGCCTTCAATTTCTGATCCTTTTGCCTCAGCCTCTCTGGAGTGTTGGGATTACATGAGTGGGCCAACACACCCTGAAAGTAAGCTTTTAATTATGGGTATAGACAAAAACTGGTATAGAAGTTGTGAGTAGTTCACAAATCTCATAAATCTAGACCTAATAACCAGCATGAGCACTTTTGGTTTTATATATGAGAGGGAGTCCCCTTTTACCAAGTGAGTGAAAACTCTCCAAAATATGCTCCTCTTTCTAAACAGAAGCTGGACCATCAAATCACTAAAGTTCTTGCTTTGTCCTTTCTGCTTCTGGTGCTGATTTCCTCAGTTTGGCAGGTACTCCTCAGTGGCACCACAATATATCTGAGAGCTTAGCCCCATCATCTGGTTACATATTACCCTGGCATTCTCTCAAAACAGCATCCATGCACTCAGCCTCTGCTGGGCACCTCACTCTCCATGTGGCCCCTAGATTTGCTGTTATTCACTGCTTATTTTATTGCTTCCTCAGACAAATGTGGAGCAATAAGTCAGTGTGCAGAACTCCCAGTGTGCAGAGATTGCTTGTATAACTGTGAGTGATTTTTCAGTCTTTTTGGATTTTACAAACTAGCCAGGCAATATCCAAATGGGAATCTGTATGACTGATCCGGGTAGTTAGGCAATAAAAAAATGTAACATACAAGGCTTGGTCTTTGGGTTGTGATTATGGGCTAGATGGGAAAGAAAGAGATTTGACATTGATATTCTGAATTTTCCCTGCTCGGTACAGCCAGAATTATCAGTTTTTAATCTTATTTCTGTCCTAGTACCTTGAGTTCATCTTGTGACCTCTCCCATGGCACTGTCACCCCATGTGACCTGGGTGAAATGTCATGCTTCTGCTAGGGAATGGATGCAGAAATTCTAAATGAAACCGCAGTCAATGCGAGTATAACAGCTGACTAAGGTCATTCAATGCACCCAGGAAAAGTCTCTGCATTTCCATAACCTGCTGTCACAAATGAAAGTGTCCACGACTGTGCCCATTAGAGAAAGAATGCTCTTAAATGGACCCTGGTAATAAAGCCATGAGGCAGTGAAAGAATTCCTCAGGGTACTATGCCCCATGTGACATTCACACTGTGTGGAAATCCCAAAAATTGGCCACTTTCAAAGTTATTTCAACTACTTCCTCAAGAAGCTATTCTAATTAGGCCGCATAAAGTCTCCTGCACCTGATTCTGTTATAGTCCTGGCCCTGCAGTGGAGGGCTCCTTCCCTTCTTTGGATCCCTGTCTCCTGCTTCTCCTGAGGCTCAGCTCTGCCTCACCACCTGGAGGCCTTGAACAGTCAATGCGAGGTGTGGCTGCCCACATCAGACCTGTTTGGTCCGGGCAGCCTTAAAACACAATGAATTTGCAAGAGGAAATAATAGTTCAGTTTATTTTACTGGCCAATTATTTCTATAAATAATCTGTATCATACTTTCATAGGAACAAAAATCCGTATGACATCTAGCACAATTTTCCTTCTATTGTGTAATTAAAGTATTGACTGCACACAAAATTTCTCCCGAATTGTGCCCTAGGACTTTATTTATAGTACTTGCAGTGTCAACAGTAGTGCTGCAGGTGTGGATCAACACATCCGGCCCACTAGAATGTGTGTATCTCAAAGGAAGAAACTATGTCTTATGCAAGTCTTTAGAAGTTCAATACTTAGGATATAGCCTGGCTGTTTTTTACACTATTTGCATCTCAGTTACTACTGAGATAAACTGTAAAATGGCCAGATTCTATAAGGTTCAAATATCCTGCTAGGAATTGCTGAGAGCTGCATGGTGTGTGGGTTTTCCCATATGCAGAGAAGCACATTCAATGGAAATGAAAGCCCTGCATTCCTGCAACCATGCCCTAACCCTGAAATGGAAGAAAAGTAATCCACATTAAGTGTACTCACTCTGTCCAGGTTTCCAGTGATATCTGGACTTATGGGATGATAAAGTCTTCCTATCTAGAGGGCTGCAATCGCCTGTAGAGCCTATGTTTCCATAACCAAGAGTTAAAAAATGACAGTATGAACCTGGTGGTGAAGCACTGCTTCAGTGCATGACAAGTAAAATCCCGACCAGCCCCATGGATGAGGCACATTCTGAGTTTCTATGCAAGACAGTATTTGCAGTTTATGGCCCCATGAAGCTGTGTACTGCAGTGTGCAGGAATGATCGACTTAGAAAAGGCAGAATAACAAGAAAAAAGATTTCCCCCTACAGGTGACCAATGAGCAAGCTTCAGTAATCTCCCTTCAGAAATGCCACACAACTGAATTCTGCTTCTAGAGTGACACTTTATTCTACCTGAAATGTTCTCTCATAAATACTGAAAGAGGTCCTCATAACAGCCATCCTCTGAGACTCCCCTACAAATTTTTGGCACCCCATATTTTGTGCACTCCTAGAGAAATCACTAGCTCACACCTTATACAAATGAATACGCGCAATTCTCTTACAAGAGGTAAAAGGACCTTGGTGTAAACACTGAGGGCTATTCATTTCCTAGTGTTTGGGGCCCCCTCCCCGCAACGGCAGCGCGGTGGAAGAGCAGGACCTGCAGTGTATTATACCAGTCTAACATGGGCACAGATCATTGAACACTATGCTCCAGATTTTCCACAGCAATTACTTTCGTGACATATGTATAAGATGCACGTTTTAAACCATTTAAGCCACTTCTTTTCTCTGTTTGGACCATGACAAATATACTCAACAAAGTGGACTGCCTACAGTAAACAGTAGTGACTCTGATTACAGAAATAAATCACATTCATGCCTATGTTCCCAGCTTTTCCCTACTAATTTTTGGTGAAGTAGTTCTGGACCTGTTCTAATGTAAACTAAAGATGCTTCAGATTTTGCAATCCTCTTGTAATCATGCTTTTTTTTTTTGTTTGTTTGTTTTGTTTTGTTTTGTTATTTAAGCTCCTCAAACGTCAGAAACAGGTTGGCCCTCATGAAAGACTCCTCTTTCAGAAAAGGGAGAAGATTTTCCAAACAGTGAACTTTGGGAGACATTATATATAATTTCTGAACTACTAGTGTCTCACTCACCCCCCTATACTTCATATGCGGTGAAGCCCATATTTCCACTAAAAGACACAGAGAGAAGGAAATGCCTTTCCCAGTGCTGTGGCCTGTTCTGCCCTCTAGCCTTGCCAAGTGGATCCTGGAAGACCTTGGGCGGCGGGAGGCAGAGCCTGTGGTGTAATTACCGCTAGTCTGCGTGGCGGCCGGCCCTTCTGCTTGCAAACCGCAGCAGCACAGATACATAACGGGCCCTGAACCAGCGGAGCTCCGAGGCACCGGCAAGGGCTCGGCTGGGGAGGCTGGAGGCCGGATGCCGCCGGCCTCGCAGAGCCTCTCGGCGCTGTCCATACTGATGAGCTCCGCGGCCGACGCTGCAAGGCGGCGAGGAGGCGCAGAGGAGGCAGAGGAGCGGGAGGAAGGCGGCTCGCACCGGGCTTTGACGTCGCCCGGCTGCGGCTAGCAGCTCGCGCTCCCAGCACGTAGCGCACAACGTGACCACACACAGCCTTCCTCCCCGGCAGCCCGTCCGCCTGCGCTCGGCGTCCGCTGCTTCGCCCTCCTCCTCCTTTTCCACCTCCTCCTCCTCCTCCTCGGCTCTCGCCTCCGCGGCGCGCACCCCCGCGCAAACCCCGGGATCCCGGCCGCCCAGCCCGGGCTCCTCTGCCGCAGCTGCGGCCCGCGGTGGTGGCCACGCAGCCGGGTGGGTGCCCCCTGCTCGCCTCTGGATGCCAGCACTACGGTAGCCCGGGCGGGGAACCCCTTCTGTGGCTCCTTCCTCCAAACTCCCGCCTGTCCCGACCGCCCCCACCCCCTCCACCTGGCGGGGGCGGCGCGGAAGCGAAGAGGACGCGCGCGGTGCCGGTGGGCACGCGTGGACGGGCGTGCGGCTCGGCTCCCGGCTTGGCGTTCTCCCTCTCCGGCGAGTGGCCGTGCCTGGACTCTGCTTTCGGCTCCTGGAATCGGTGCGGCCGGCCCGAGCACCCTCTTCGCTGGCGGGCGCCGAAGGCTATTTCGGGGAGCAGCGGCGGAGGCTGCGGCGGCTGCGCCAGGGCGAGCTCCGGACGCGCACTCTGCTCCCCGCCGGACCCTCTCCGCCTCCTCCTCCCCTCCTCCCCTGCCTTCCTCCCTTCCCGCCTCCCCACCCCCGTCTCCCAGCCCCACTCCTCCTCCTCTTCCTCTTCCTCCTCCTCCTCTCCGTCCTCCGCTCCCGCTCGGCGATGCGAGCCTGTCTCGTGTAACAGGATTGGCGTTGCAATGGCAACTGATGGAATGGGGGAAGGCCAGACAGCAGGGCTGGGGGCTCCGGACTGCGGGCGGGCGGGCCGCTGCCGCCGCTTGACGCTCCTCCGGGGACCTTCGCGAGTTACTTTGTAAAGGAGAAACCCAGCGCGCGAGAGAGCCCGGCTCCGTGCCCCGTGTCAGAGGCCACTTCCTGCTCCCGGCCGTCCGACCCGGCTGGCGCGGCGCTGCGCCCCGGCCCCTTGCCCAGCGCGGAGCGAGCGCGGCCGGCTCCGCAGAGACTGGAGCCTCCGTCTCCGAAGAGCGCTTCGCCGGCCTCGCGCTCCCCTTCCCACCACCGCCCCCTGCGAGCTCCCCGGCGCCCGGTGCGAGTGCGGCGTGTGAGTGTGTCAGGGTATTGTGCTGCGGGAGTGAGTGTGTGTGCGTGTGCATGAGTGTGGGGCGCGCGGGGCTCCTGCGCTCCGCTCGCGGCCGCCGCCGGGGAAGGACGGACGGACGGCGCTTCCTCCTCCAGCGAGCGGCTCCCGGGCACCTCGGCGCGGCGCGGGCGCGAGGGGAGCGCGCCTGGCTGGCCGCCGGCCTTCGGAAGGTCCCGCTGCGTCCCCCCTGGGCTGGATATGTTCATGTTCACGTGAAGATGGATTTAGTGTACGGGCTCGTGTGGCTGCTGACAGTCCTCCTCGAGGGGATCTCCGGCCAAGGAGTGTACGGTGAGTGGCATCGCGACGCTATGGTGACCTTGTGATTCTTGGGCAAGATAGGCTGCTGAGCTAAAATGCAGGACCCGCGCCGTTCCGGGCCCCTCCCGGCGTGGCATTTGATTTACACTTCATCACGTTACCGGGAGCGTTGAGGTGGCAGCGAGCACGCTGCGCACGGGGCTGCCAGCGGCTCCCCAGTCGCCTCGACGCGGCTCAGAGTTGGGTCGAGCCGGCAGCATCGCACTTGCCCGAATGAGTGGCTTTGCACTTGATTTATCCCCAGGGGACGCGGTCTCTGGCAGTCTTTGATTTAGTGATGGTTCGGCTCCTTGCGTGTTGCGGTCTCAGCACCGCTGTTTTTCTCCCGCGAAAGGAATCTTCGAATGTGACCCCGTAAGTCTCCCCAGTCCTCTCCACACACATTCACAAACACCGGTCCCATCCCTTCGCCCCCTTCTTTTTCTATGGATGCCTACATGACTCGATTTTTTGGCTCAGGAAGTGGGGTGACAGTTGAGTTGCGCTCTGCACCAGCCGTTGCCATGAGCACTGACTTGAGGAGGGGAGAGAGCAGGCAAGATTCTTGGTGCCAGACACAATTAAGGGATGTGTTTGTGTGAATGGATGAGCAAATGCATGAATGAACGGACAGCGAAGTCCGCGTGTTGGGCTTCAGTGCAGGACACCGACTCCCTGCAAAGGGAAAGGATCCCAGCTCTTCTCTAGAAAACCGAGATCTAGGAGGGTTAGGACTAAGAGAAGGGTGAGCTTGTTAATTGGAAGGTTTGAAGTCCTCAAAAGCAATTCCAACTTCCTTTGCCTGTCAGCAATTGGCGTTTTTGCCTTCCCCATTGAAATGTGTGTGTGCGCGCGCGTACACACACACACACACACACACACACACACACACACTAGTGAACTGAAATATAAGTCTTCTGGGACAAGCAGGTGGTACCCCCAAAGCAAAAGAATTGGGTTTCTCACGGTGTTGTGCTGATGCTCATGTGGAGGGCAGGTCAAGACTCACCCACATGTGTCTTCCCATATTCGTGGAATGTGTGCTAGAAGTCCTACCCACTTTCGCTTCTCTCTCCCTCTGGGATTTGGGGCCCCAGCACTGCAGGGCTAGGTCAGTGGCTACCCCAGGGCCAAAGGCTTTTTGTATTTGTGGAAGTGTCCTAGCTCCTCCTGCAGATCCTAGAAGTGACTGCGGAGTGGTCACGGGTGCCAGGAAACCTCTGGTCCTCAAACTCTGGCAATGTGCAGCACGCTGTGGGCATACGTTTGAGGATGGAGGCAGCTGACTGGATTCAGCCTTTACCCTTACTGTGTTCTGTTCAGAGCTGAGTAGTGGTGGGGTCAGAAGCCAGTGGCTACCAGCTGAGAGCGCTGGTCCTTCAGTCATGCCAAAATCTGCCACTCCTCTTTCATGTGGTCCCACTTTCCTCCTTTGCTTGGACCAAGAAACCTCCAAGCACTTGTATTTCCCTTCTGCCCCCCACCCTTTCCCAAATGAAAGGCAACTTGTCTGGCTGTGGCAGGGGCTGGAACAGCGGTGCTAGTGTGTGTGTGTGTGTGTGTGTGTGTGTGTGTGTGTGTGTGTGTGTCTGTGTTGTGCTGCGCTGGAATGCAGGAGAGATGCAGTCTTCAGAGCTTGACTAAAAAAAGGCAGGAGGTGGAGCCTGCGGAGGGCAGGAATTCACTTGGTGCTCTAGTGAGGCTGCTGGACTCCCATGTCCCCTGAGCAGCTGACAAATTCATTCATTCTAGGGAGAAGAACAGCTGAGAGCGTTCTTAAATGGCTCTGGATCAGGCTGGTTCAGTCTGAATTCCTCCTGCCCCAAGTTTAAGTTTACATATTTTTCTGGTTGGTTCAGACCACCCTAGTTAAAAAGACTTCCGTCTTGCATCTTAAACTGTGTGTCTGTGTGCATGTGTATGCCTAAGTGTGAGCATGAGTGTGCGGCGGACTAAAGAAAAATGTGAAAAATTTGGGAGGTGGGTGGAAGGCTGGAACTGTAAGGATTAAAAAAGAATGGTTCTGTTATCCTGTCACTTTGGACATTCAGATTACTGGATCATGCCGAGTCTCCTGTTGGAAAGTGGAAAGGTGGAAAGTCTAACAGTGTAGATAAATAGGAATCAATGGCCTGTGTCACTTCTTAGTAAAAGAGAAGGCTGTCCCCTGTTGAGCTGGGCATTGTGATGGGGATGGTGGTCTTTGATTTTGTTTTACTATCTGTGTGGTTAATAGTCATTTGGCTAGGAATAGAAAGGGCTTTGTGTGAAAAATATTAATCATCGTCCCTAGCTATTGTAAATGTCTATGTTTAGTATATATATATATATATATATATATATATATATATATATATTTTACGTGTCACAGATTTAGATTTTCAAAGTGAAGCTAAACATCAGCATCAACATTGACCTGGAACGTGGGGAAGGTGCAAATTCCTGAGCTGCTGTCAGACTATGTACCCAAGGTGTGGGACCCAGGGATCCCCATTCATCACCTGGGTGATGATGACACTCAGTGCAATCCAGCATCTCAGAACTTGGGATGTGAGTTTATACTTTCATTGCCTTGACTCATATTCTTTTCCTAACCTAAAGTAGTTACATTTTTATTTATTGAATGATTTATAGAATATTTTCCTCGAGTTAAAATTGTCAGTTGTAAATGGCATAGATATAAGATTTAGTGCAAGGTCATAAAGTAGGTTTAGAACTATTTACATGCAGGTCTTTAAAAAAAAATTAAAGAGTCTCCAGGTTTTAAACAGAAACTTCAAAATCCTAGATTGCAACTTGCCTAGCAAAAGGATCTGTTTCCCTGTGCCTCTTTATTTGCCTCTATTCACAGGATTTATAATCACACTACGAACAAAAAATTACTTCTTAGTATTATGTTCCAGTGACTATGGCCAAAAGAAAATAGACAACATTCACTCTTCTACCTCCTGGATGAAAAACTCTGAGAATAGCATTTAGCTTTTAATTTTTAGTAACTCAAAATATGTAATGCATGGGTTCTATTTTGTTGAGTACTATGTTCTTCATCCTACCATGCTTAATTAGACTGACACCTATGAGAAGTATTCCAGTATAATAGATTCTGTTACAGACCTAGGGATTTCTTGTTGTTTATCTTCCATTTTCCATAAAAAGCTGTATAAAGGCTACCATTTAGATATGGCGTGGCAATTGGGTAAAGGAGATTGTCTTTTAACTGCATAGCTACCCTTTAGTAATAATTCAGATGTCATTAGAGATTTTTTTTTACTGTCACAAATTATTTGATATCAGATGTGACAAGAAATATAAATTATTGAAAATACTTATAAAAGAAAATTACCCAAAAGACTTCACAATAGACTATATAAGAAAGTCATGTGGTTTTATTCCAATAATATATATTCATAATATACATTTGGACATACTTATTTTACAAAATTCAAGTTCTTAAGCCATAAATTTTACCTTTCTTGAAGTTTAAGTTACTTGCATTAAAATTGTTTTCACTAAAAGACAATTAGAATTTTAAACCTTTGTTTGAACTTTGTTTTGCCTAAATATTTATCATTTAAAAGCAAAAAGTTATTAAATAAGCAGTGAACTGTTGCCTATTTGTGGCATTTTAATTTAGTACCCTCACATTATATTAAGTTTAGAATAATTAATTAGAGATAGCTTGGAGGTTGGAATCTGAACTCCAGCTATTTTTATACTTTTTGAAATATCTACAGATTGTGACCTGAAGCATTTTCCTGGTTTTTAAAAGTTTTCTTTGAAGTAGTGAATTGTTTGGTCTATTAAACTGTGTTTTGTAGAGATATGATTTATAGTAATCTGTTAGGTTTATACCTCCTTTTCACTTCTAAGTTGGCTTGATTAAAAAAAATATGAAACAGGAAAACTACTCTGTTGTCTCATACTATAGTTTTACATCTGGTCATTATGTCCCTAATTCTAAAAGAAGATAATTTAAAAAAAAAATCTTATGATTGTTTTTAACATAAATTATTGTAAATAAAAAAACAAAGTAAATTTCCTTGTCTGGATATCTTTAGTGGGAGCCAGATCAACCACTCTGACATAGTTAATTTTCTGTCTAAAATCACTTCCAGGATGTGTAATATGCAGTAGAGTAAGTTTGTCAAACACATGTTGACATCTTAGCAAGCTATATTAGGTCAATTCAAGTGATATCAGTAAATATCATGTAATTTAAGTGTGACCTCCTAGGCAGTAGGTGGATAGAAATGACTTGGTGGATTCTAGAAGGAGATAAGTGAGACAAGAGGTTATGGTAGGAAATTTCAGACTGTCAGTGCGGGGTGTCTGATGGGGGGATCCCAAAGGAGAGGGCCGTAGAGGGAGCTCTGCAAGCTGTTGTAGGCTGGGTCAGAGCGCTGCTCTGCTTCACAGCAGAGCACTGGTTGGAACTTTGTTCAGTTTAGGTTTGGAGTGACTTGAGATGAGATAGTGATTTCCACTGCCCCATATTAGTGACCACTTACAGGATGACTTCATAAATGCTGCATAACAAAATCAGCATGGAGCTGTGTGACACACAGTCAGCTCTTTTTTCATGCCACTCTCCACACACTCACTGCACAATCACACACACTCTTCCATTGCCAACACCTTGGACACAATCACTGAAGAAAATGGATAGGATGCCCTTTGGCTTTTGGGATTCCCTTTTGTCTACTTATCAATTACTACTTTCTGACTTGCTTGTTATGCTACCAAGAGTTCACATGCAAAAGAAGCAGATTATTTATGCAGTGTTACTTTTTTATGTCCTTTATATAAAACAGTTCGCAGTACCTCCATTGACGAACTTCTGTCCAGATTCTTTTCACTCAGTTTTTGGTTGTAAACTGAGTTGGATGAGAACTGAATCAAATTCAGTGGTTAGGATTCAATGCTGTCTTCATAGGAAAATTTGATTTAGTTTTGGTCCAGTTTGGGTTGTGATCAGAATTGTGGACAGAATT